ACTTTTTAAATTTTTATTTCCTTAAAATGCTTTAATACATTTCCTGCGTCTAGAGTTGAGCGAAATCAGAGCAAAGCGAAAACACTTTGACGTGAATCACCTTCTACTCCTCTTTCTCTCGCTTTCATCCACTCTCGTTTCTATCCTCTCCTCTTTCTTTCCTTCCACGTACATACCCTCCACTACTTTCGCCCTGGTTTATACGTACTTATAAGCTGCTAAGCTTCTAAGCTTGCACTTGACGGTTGGGACGTAGTTGGTCGTACATACTCGGCCGCCGCACCGAAAAGCTCGCAAAGTTTATTAAAGCTCGATTTTCCCGACGACCAAACGAAAGATTTCATCTGAATATATAATATATCAGCTTGTATGCCGCTTAAGCTGACTCGCTGTGTCTTCCTGTCTTATGACAGTTGCTCTCCTCTTTTTGACTGAGCTATGCTTCTTTCTCTTTTTTACTGTTTGCCAATGTACTAACCCAACCTTTTAACGATATACATATGCATTTGAAATAATTTATCTGCACAACGCGAATTTTTTCTTTTATTAAGATATTTACTCGTGAAACGAAAGAAGTAATTTTTATAGCTAAAGTTTTTAGAAAGCGGTTTGTCACTTTTTCAATTTCATTTTTGTAAAACAATCAGCAAGTAAAATTTTTTCTAATAGTATTTACAGAATCGCTGTTGATACTAGTTGAGACAAATTTGACTTTTCCTTTGCTAAATCTATAGAGTATTATAATATTTATTCTACAAACATAATAATTTTTAATTCTCTGTCGAAATTTGAATATTTAAAAAATGTATTTTATATCTAAACAATTTAGATATTTATTTTACAGTTTTATTTTTTAAAAATCCTTGAAAATAATAATAAAAGTGGACAAAATCAATTCTACAAATATATATTCTCTTTTATTTCAATTATAATCTTCTTTCTATTTTAATTTTAACTCGTATAATGTTAATATTATTCCCTATATTAAATTAGAACGTTTTAAGTAATATTTTACCCAGGACTTTAATTTTGATAGCTTTTATCAAAAGGCCTGTAAATGTGAGCGATAGGCACGCAAAGGGTTTTAATCGTCAATAGCTAATGTGCATACGGCATAATGTTAATATTCTGTAATATTAACATAAGACAGAAAAAGAAAAGAAGAGACAGAGTTGCGTTGTTAATGTCAACCACGTCGTTAAACATCGCTGTCCCTGCACCAATAACAACGATGACGATAAAGACACAACAGCGATAAGATGATACTATGTACAGTTTAATTAAAATAATGTCAAAAAGGACGATATTCTCTCTTGCGTGAAAATTTATCAAGTAGTAATTTCGTGGCATGGAAACGGAAGTTGGAAAAAGCAGAAAATTGGCAACCGACTAGCCTGTGAAACGAAGTGAACGAATGACATTGTGTTTTGTAATATTATATTACATATATAAGTTAGGTTTTGCTCCAGATAATTGAAGCGCGTTCCGACGTGTGATCTCATTCAGTTTTCACCCATAATTTCTCATAAATAATCAAAAAGAGTTGTCAAAATTAAGCTAACATCAACATACAAAGTTACATGATTTTCAGATTCCTAAAGTTTATACAAAAGAATATATCTTTAATCGAATGGAACAAATAAATGAATCAATTTGCATTTTTCTTTAGACAGAAAGTTTGATAGATCTCTTTGAACTCTTGAATATTTTAAGATATCCACCGTCTTTTTACAATCCTATAAACGATTCGAGAGTAACAAGCGCAAAAATGTTTGATGTTGAAAATATATTCGCTTGTTCGTTATATAACGTGTTAAGTTGTCTGCCGGTAAGTTAATTTATTACAAAGATGCTTGGATAGAGTGGCTCGAAGCACAAAGCGTCTCAAGGTAACGAAATTACACTCGAAATTGATGCATTACATTCGAAAGGCTAAAACGTGTATCGAATTTACTTTTGCAACTCTCCCACACGACTGATCTTTATAAAATTGTATAGTCTATTCTCGTAAAATATAAACTTATTCGTGAGACAGCAATTGTTGACAAATAAAAAAATATTGACACTGACTAAAAATGGCAAAAAGCCGCGGCGTCGCGAAAAAAATCGATTGTAACATCCGTTACGTAAAGCGATTCTCGAGTAACCGCATCGCACGATCGATTTATCGATCGCCCCTCGGAGAATGCTTCAACGCGGAATTATCCTCCGCACTCCTTACGACCGCGGACATGCCAGGAACTCCGAGACGTAAACCGCCAGCGGATCTCGGCGACGGTCCCGGCGGTCGGTGCAGGATGCGTCGGTTGCGAATGCGACGTCCCGACCCGGGTATCGAGAACACGATGCGGTTCGACGAAGATAAACGGCGCGAACCAAACGGCGGAGACCGAGAAAGCTTGGCTGACGGAGACGGCGAAAGAGCAGAAACGAGCAAAACGAGAGAGACGGTGCACGCGAACGCGCAAGAGGGACGGATAGTGGACAAAGAGCAACGGGGGAGAGTGGGGGTGAAAGTTTGAGGAAGGACGAGCGTGTTGCGTGTTCGGCGAGGACGCGCAGAGGACGGGGAAGGACACGAGGAAATATAGCGAGCGATCGTGTGCAGGTGCACAGGAGAGGATCCGCGTACGGGCGGGTGAGTTGTGCGTACCAATCGGCGGGTGCAGAGTACGGTCCGCAGGCACGCAGGAGGAGGCGAAAACCGGGCACAGCCCCAGGAGCACGGCGGTGGCTTCCGCCATACGGGGCAAAACCGCCCCACGCCGGACCCGGGAAGCGGCGCGCGTCTGGTTGCGCTGGCGGGTGGCGGGTTGCACTGTCGAGTAGCGCGCGAAAAGGGGGTTCAACTCGACTCGATGTGCCAACGAGCGCACGAGAGAGAACAAGAGAGAGAGAGAAAGAGAGAGACGAGACGAGAGGGCGAGAGGGATCGCGGGGGAGGCGAGGCGGAGGATACGTCGGTCAGAGGAAGGGGAGGAAAGCGAGCGCGAAGAGAGCGCGGGAGGGATAGGGATAGCTAGAAAGCGGCAAGGGTAGTGGCGATGGTGGTGGCGGCAGCGGCGGCGGCGGCGGCAGCGGCGGCGGCGGCGGTGGCGGCGGCGGCGATCCTCGGGTGGTGCCGGTAGAACAGCGGAGGGTAGACGGAGGGAAGGCAGTGGCGACGGCGAACATAAAATCCCTCGCACATGCCTGGTGCATTCATTAGGGGGGATGTGCCCGTGCAGCGTACACGTCGACCTGCATCCACGCCACCCTCTCTCTCGGTGCCACTCCTGGCCTCAGTCGCGCTCCGCGGCCAACTTAGTGCACACGCCACTCCGTTGATCCTCCCTGGCGGACTCACTCGTAACCGTCTCCCATCGTCAACGTTGCATCGTCGAGTTCCCGGGCGCGCGAACCGTGATAACGTGTGCCACACGAGTCGTTGCTCAATTTTAATCCCGTCGATCGCGAATTCGCGCCTCGCGCGACGATGACCGAGGCGAGCTGAAAGGACTTGGCGCGCAAGCCGACACGAGTGCGAGTTGATAATCCGAGTGCGGGAAAGTAAACACGGGAAAGCCGCACACACCGCGAAAGACTTTCGGAGAACGAGAATCCGCGAAGGGCCTGCGGCCGCTTCCGGGAGCGGGAGCGAGGAAGAGGGCTTTCCTCGTCGTCTTCGTCGAAGATCGCCGACGGAAGATTGTCCATCCCAGCGTCTTGAGCAGCGCAGCGTCCGAAGAGGATCGCGTACGACAACGACACGGCTCTACGCGCCGCCGAAGGTTGCGGGAGGCCGACGGGATTTCATGTTCACGAATTTCAATAAACCAGGTAACGATGCGCCAGAGACCCGCCGGCGACGGAAAGTCCAGCTGCACGGAATTGGCGCGTCGACATATCGCGAGCCTCGTTTTGCCGCGCCGCAACGCGTTTTCATCGCGATCGGGAAAGGGCGGGAACGTCACGGGGAGGGGATTTATCGATCGCGCGATCGATGGCACGCGCGTTTCCGCCGCGCAACTTTTCCTGCGGGGGTGGAAAAACGAACGGAGAGACAGTGGCGTCGTGCGTCACGACGTCCCGTCGACATCGCTCCGAAATTGCTCGCCGCGATGCGCTGTCACTTGCGCTCGTTTCCTGCTCGCTACCCTCGAGATTACGAGTTGCAGCGAATAAATTTGCATGGACGAAAAGCGGCGCGTGTATCGTAATACTTTTTCTTGACGGGCTTTTATCCGCCCTATACGTGAATAAGTAGAATCGATCGCGAATCGAGCGGAAAATTCGGCGGAGACACAATTCGGGAGGAGTATCGTTATCGGGAAAAATAGCGGGAAATCATGTCGGGGAAAGTGGCGCGTATCCATGATAAAGCGGTCTTTATTAATATGACCGAATGTCAGTCCTGTAATTTAACACGTTTTGTCAAATGGCATGTTTATCAGCTCGACAATCGAGTCAAATAGCGGATTCGTTAGCGGGAAAAATGCGCGGTATGCGGATTTTGCACCGTTTCCGAGAGTTGCGTGGGCAGGTGCAAGGATGCAATTATTTACGGTGGCACGGCACGGTCGGATTCGAATTTCCATATTTTCGCTATTCGTTTGCGCGAATATTATTACTGCGCTTGGAGTAGTAAAAGATGCATGGCATTTCCGATGAAATATGCCACGTTCAAGAAACGTGCCTTCCAAGACGGGCTTATCTTGGTCTCGCTTCTTCCTTGTTCGCGGGAACGATTTTGATAAAAGAAAATTTTGCATAGCGATAGAGTACAACCTTTCAAAAATGTAACATTTCTGAAATATAATTTCTTTTTCATTTCCGCATCTTTCACGCGTTAGACGATCGATAAAATACATCGCGCTTTTAAGACATTTTTGTAGAAATAAATTTTTTATCTTATCATTTTTTTATTGAAAAATAACTAACAAGAGAATAATTTTTTAAGAAGACTCTTATATAGAACAAAATCTTGCTTATTGTATAAATAATTTATGAAAAAGAAAAGCTTTTTTACATAAAAGTAGAAAATTTTAACGTAACATTTAAAGATGGGTATTATCAAAAGATGAAATATCAGTTGAACTTTAATGTGAGTTACAAGCGCTGATGCTTCTATTTGAACGGTGTCGATTAGCATCGCTCTTTTAACGGAAAATATAATATTTGACGATTCTCCCGCAGGAAATATTGCCATATTGATTTCAATTAATTTCTGCGGACATAGCTGTACGATTCATAGCGCGTTAATTACGAGCAGGGCTACAAATGTTAACTAATTTCAGCCTCGCGTTTCAACGTATTTGGCCGCATTTTTCCCGCGCGGTAGCAGTTATGTCTCTGATATATACACGCGTGGTGGTTAATGCTGTCGCTCTACGTCAAGCTTAATTTTTAATCCGCCGCGTAGTGCCGTGTCGTGAAATAATTCGCCGCTTATTATGCAAATTTAATCGCGCGTTTATCGCGAGGCGCGCTAATCGCAGATAACTTTCCCGCTTAACTTCACCGTTAGGATGCGTTTACTCCTTTTTATTTTCCGACGTAACAAAGGACGTCCGGGCCGCTTTGTTTTCCCGGCAGCAGATACGCCCGCTAAACGCGGATTAAACATCCCCTCTGCGATCCCTCTCGACGCGATCATTGTGTCGCCGTTCTTATAATCGTCTAGGTGGTTACGCGCGACATTTATGTTCACCAACTCAAGCTACGGCTGTTGCCGTCAACAAGCAGCATCCATTCAATCGCTAATCACTCCGATCGGACGTTTCTCTTTCGGCAAATTAAAATGGAAAAAAAGAAAAAATGTTTCCGACCTCTTTTGCTCTTTCAAGGTGTCTAAGCTTAAAGATGTAAGAAAAATCATTCGGAGATTCTGGGTCGCGAATCGAGAAATAGATACTTTCGCAAGAAGACGAGCCGAATAACTCTCGTGATGGTTCCGAGAGACAGATACTCCCGAGTGAGCTTAGTTCTCCAAAGTTTTCCGACTCCCATCACCTTCGCGAGCATAGTTGCTCGGGACATCTCAAAGCATTTCTATTATTCGGATCGTTCTACTTTGGTCTCTCGAGTCATTTGGAGGGATATTTTGGAGCGCGGAATTCTCGAATACGTTTCTCCGCTTCGTATTTGCTACCAAGTCATAGCGTATTCGGTGTGACGGCGATGTTATAACGAGATTTTACGTCAATGGTGTGGCATCTGCTCGCAAGAAAACGATTTCGTTTGAAGATTTCGTGCTTCAAAGCATACACCGTCTTCTTCGTCCCGCAAATGTATTGTAATCGAGGAAAATGCACGCCCGAATGTGCAGCAGTGCGTCCTTTATCGGCGCGAGCATTCTACATAGAGCTTTTCCGAATATTTGCACGTTATCGCTTGTGTTTGCGTCATGGACTCGAACTTTCAATTCCTAATCGATCCGAGGCGCCAGGCGGGAATCTCGGAGACAGACGCTGGCGTCTCTTTGGTTCTTTGCGCGTTTACGTCGACGAAGATATAAAAAGAGAGAACGAGAGGAAGAGAGAGAGAGAAAAGTAGTCACGGAAAAGAGTCAAGTAGTTTCTATTTTTCTACTCATCGCTCGAAGCGAAAATCTATTTTTTTACGCCTCGCGAACTGTACTTTGCTCAAGAAAAAGCCCGAGAGACTCGGTTAAATAGTCGATATAATAGTTGTAGAAAACGGGAATGCGATAAGGCGTTCACCATTGATCCATCAACGGTATAAAAACGCGCGCGTCCGCGTTCGCCTTCGCAGCGTGCGAAGATCTACGCGTCCAAGATGAATTTCGGGCAGCGTCCAGAAGATAAAGCGCGCCGATGCGCCGCATCGCTTTGTGCCGAAAGCGGCGTTTTCCCAGCCCGCGCGGCCGCGCTGCAGCTGCGGGAAATGCATCGATCGCCGATGCATTTCGATGGCACCAACGTCACGCTTTCGGCGTCAAAAGGCCAAGGTCGGCCTCGCTTAATTGCGTGGACGATCGCCGACGTCTTGCCGACACGCAGGATACACAGGTCTGTTTTTTTTCCAAGAAAAAGAAAATATTTTCATTGTATTTTGTCAAAGGATGAATCATTCTTTGACAAGAATATTAGCCTTATTAAATGCATGGAATAAATTATGTAATATCGATATATTTAAATATATTCATAAGTTGCATCCATTAAGTGAGATAAAAGAAGGTAATTTTCTCTTTTTGTATTGACGATATTTTTCAATCAATTCCCGAGCACGATATCGAGTAAAAATTATTTCGAGGAGTCTTTTAAATTTCTCGACGCTTTATTCACATATCATAAGTTCTTTTCGCGTTGATTACCTGAAAATATGAATGACATTCGTCTGTTCTCGAATCATCTCTGTAAGTAGCTCGTTAGAGGGCGGATTTACTTAAGAAGATAAAGAACCGTATGACGTAGTCAAACTATTATAATTACGTAATCCTTATTAAAGTTTGTAGGCTGTTATTAAGTCAGGCTAGAAAGAATCTTTGTATCGGGATGTTCTTAGCGCGCGCGTTTAGTTTAATAAATGAGAGATGGGAACTCTGTGTGACTAAATAGTTTTGCATAATCAGGTTTATTATCGGACTAATTATTTATTGTTGGATTTAATTGACTTATATATATTTAAAAAGAAGAGTTTAAATCCTAGATTCTCTTATATTATTAATAATAGCTATAATATTATCTGTGTGAGAGTTTATAATTGGACATGTAATTTTTAATCATCAAAATATATTGTAGAATCATATTGAAATTCTTTTTAATTTTCGAAATTGTGCAGCAAAATATTCCACTCTCTTTTTTCGATTTTTTTTTGTTAACTGAGATGCGTTGAAATTTTCTGAAAATAGACGACGCGTATTTTCACCAATATAATATTGACACATGTTATTTTAAATTCTTACTCGCGACAGAATATCCAGTATATAATTCTCCAATATATAATTTCATATATATATACACAGCGCGTATATATGTGTGTGTGTATATGTATATATGTATATATGTATTCGTTTGATGTTCCAGGAGCTTTTTAAACGTGATATTATTCCATGTCTTTTAAACGCCAACAAATAAACAAGTATGTAGTGCATTTCGCATTTCATGATTAATATCTCATTTAAGGAAAAACAGGAAATTGCGATATAGAACTGAGTACAATTAGGACATGTCCGTGATTGCGAAATGAATCCCGATTGTACGGAGACAGATCAGCTTCCAACTAGCTATTTCGAAATGGAGCGCGAAAACGCGGGATTGAATTTAAACGACAGATATTGCATCGTACGTCGCAACAAAATTTCATCGCAAACGCGATTAATTAGGTATTTTTAAATCGCGGTATTATTGCGTTAAAAAAAAGTATACGAGAATATTGAATTTCTCATTTACATTGCGTTTATCGTATCATCGTTTTGACGTACGACCATTTTATTTCATTTATCGCATTTCTATCTTTGCGCGAGATATACTCGTGAGTCATAATTTTTCAGCGATGTCGATGAAAGCGCGGATTAAATCTGTTAACAGCCGTTCAAAGCTTGTAAATCCGCGTTGGAAATCTCGGTTGAGGAGATTTTCCAATTTTCCCCGTTGCCTATTGATTTCGCGTGAATAACACGATTATCATTTGTGGAAAAGGGGAAAGAAGGGAGAAGGATAGTACCAAATTAATATCAGATACTCACGGTTTGTGCAAATTATCATTTATTATCGTCAAATGAAGCTAAAGGGTCCAATTCGTACATCGCGATTTTTCACGAAATGGAAAATATTCTTTCGCGGAATTTTCTCTTTAATGTATCGAATACTGTTTTCGACTGATTACGAGTATAGCTCTTTCAGTAGCTACGACGAATAGAAAACTAGAAAGAAAATGCAGTCGTGAAACGTGCGCGTATTGTTTTTTCTTGCGCTCTTAAGCTCCATGCTTAACCAAATGGATGAAACCATGAGAATCTCTTTTTTACGCGATGCATTGTACGTTGGAAACTGATATTTACGCGAGTTGCACTCTCGAATTTAATCCTCATTCTCAATCGCGATTTGTACAAACATTCCCAGAATTTCACACATTGGCAAGAAAGACGACGCAAGGAATAATAACGCTAAACTTTTTTTTTTAATGTGTTAACATCGTAATAAAGCATCTTTCTTTATACGTGTCGTAAAATAAGTAAGCAGGTAAAGAATCATAGAGTGTATTGTGAAAATATAAAAAACTACTAGTTTCTGTTTTCGAAAATGTATAGAGAGGAAAATATACATTAGTAGTAATAAAATTGTATTGACATTTCTTTAATTTATAATTTGCTATCTAAAAAAAAATTAAATTTCACAAGTAATAATATGCAAATATCACATTCGTATTTTTTATGATGATTCAAAAATGCGTTTGTTCAATAATTTTTAAATTAATTTCTCTGCAATCATATTTACATTTCTTTAAAAAAAATTAAAACATTTTAAAGTAATAAAAACTGTTAATTTTTTTATACACATTAATGTTAGATTTTATTAAACGAAGAGCACAATTTCTAATCAAATTTTGAAAGAAACAAGTTAATTAAAAGTATATATTAAAAAAATTAGATATATGGAGATTAAATATATTTTATATAGTCTCTATTTATCTCTGATTTTTCTCATAAACTAAGCTTTGCAACGAATGTACGTGTTAAAATGAGTGCTGAATCACGATTAGATAAACGGATGAAATTAAGTTATTATATTTAGGGCTATATTTTTTTTTAAATGTATCAACTCTAAATATAATAGTAACTTCATTTGCTCTTTAGATTACACGTTGCTGAAAATCTATCACAACTTTTAATTGTAACTGTAATTACGAAAGCACTATTTGTATATGACAAAAAATCAATAAGATGAGGATATTTATCTTAATGCATTTGCCTAAGCTCGGATAAATTAGTTATTTATTTTTTCACTATTCATTGCAGAATTATTGATCGATGATAGAAAAAATCAATTGTCTTTCAATAATCGTTGTAATTCGGCATTTAATAAATATTTTGCACGAATATTGACACGAATTTATAAATAATAAATGGATAGAGATAGATCTTTAGTTTGCGTCATTAAAATATAATTCCAAATTGTATGGTTAATATTTTTTAACAAAAAGACAAATCACACTATACATATCTCCGATTGTTATAAAGCGTTTGATAGATGAGAATTTAATATTCCCACGCGTTTCGTGAAAATCGATGAGTCGCAAAGGTAAACGTAAAGTTAAAAGTATTCGATAGAGGTATATAACGCACTGTTTGAATCGAGCGCCTCGCGCGCCATATCGCGTACGTAAGCGTGCGAAAGCGTGCGTTATTCGGAAAATAAGAAGGCCGGCATCGCGGATCGATATGGCGGTCGTTTGTATTCCGGCGCGATACACTCGAGCGGGATATATCGCGGGCCGCGATTACAGCATCTAACGCGTATCTGGCACGCGATCCGGCAGAAGACATCGACGACGCGAGGCGACGCGACGTGACGCGACGCGACGCGGCGTTGCCTTAACCACGTTTGAATCCTCGCGCCCTTCGCGCCATTCCCCCGCGGCAGATGCACGAAGGTCAAAAGTATTTTAAAAATAAGGCCGTAGGCATTGGCAGATTGGTATGGCAGTGGACGTTAAGGGTCGGGTGGCGTTGTAATGGCAAAAAGTTTGCGAGAGGTGAGTAATCGACGTGTGCACGTTAGATAGAGGCGATATTTGGCGAAGGGTGCGCGATGTACGACGCGTAAGCTGCGTCAGATCGGCGTAAATAAAGCGATGCGCCGTAGGTAGGACGAGTGGTTAGAAATCGGGCATCAACAAATCGAGTTTTCGCGAGGAGGCTCGTGGAGGCTAGACGAGCACGGCCGACAATGGCGCCCAAGCCTCGCGAATATTGACATTGCCAAAAACATTACCTCCGAATATATCGGATTATTATCGTATACGTGGGTGGCACGTACTGCGTCGCAATTAGTGATCTAACCTCGCGGTGGTCCCCGTGTCGCGGCTTATCGCGTAGGAATCCGTCGCGGATTACTTCGATCGGGCGCTAAGGTTATGCGAAAAAATGTTTTCTGCACGTATAGTAGCGCGGCGTGAACCCTGAAGGGTTTTACAGTTATACTGCAATGTGGCACATTTGCAGAAGCACGGAGGACGTTGTGCGCGGGTTTAGAGCCGCGATTTAATCTATCTGGGAGATATCGTCAGGACGATAGGAAAGTGTACGCGGAGGAAGTGTGCGAGGTAGCGATTTAAGGGTTAGGGAGGCATTCAGTTAGCCAGGGTTTGAGTATAACTTTTTATGTAGACGGTTCAAGGCAACTAGTTTGGTTGTAGGGTCGGGATTGGAGATAGACAAGATGGACCAGCAGTATTGTCTACGGTGGAACAATCATCCAGCCAACCTCACAGACGTTCTCAGCTCCCTACTTGCTAGAGAGGCACTTTGTGACGTGACCCTGGCTTGTGTTGGAGAGACATTCAAGGCGCACCAAACCATACTATCTGCATGCAGTCCATATTTTGAGAGCATTTTCATACAAAACACCCATCCCCATCCAATTATATTCCTGAAAGATGTCAATGATACGGAGATGAAGGCGTTGCTGCACTTTATGTATAAGGGTGAAGTTAACGTTAGTCAGCATCTGCTACCGATGTTCCTTAAAACAGCGGAGGCATTGCAGATCAGAGGCCTCACCGATAATAGTGTAAATAACAAGACAGAGGAAAAGAGTCCATCGCCAGAGCCAGAAACGCAAACTGGAGTCAGACATAGCGATTCGCCTAATCTTCAGTCTCATCCTGAGAAAAGAAAAAGAAAACATTCAGGCAGCTACGATGTTTCCCTTTCTGGTCCGCCTAGTGAGAGATTCTTATCCGATTCTCAGGTATATAAATATATGTCATTTTTTCTAACTGTATCTCACGATGGATGACACATTTTACTTTTATTCTTTTTAACATTCATTTATTATAATTTATACATTTTCCATCTTATTATCTTTTGTATCTTTAAATTTGAACTCTAACTCTAAACCAAATTAAAGAAAATCATATTAGAAATGAACAATAATAGAATATTTTTTCTTTAAGTATATACAAGTGTAATTTTCTACAAATATTTTTGTTAGAATGTAGTTTATAAATACAAATTTTATTTTACTTCTCGTTACATTGCTTTGCAATAGCATTACATTGCTTTGCAATAGATATACTATATTTTCCTTGTTAATCGCTTAAATTACACATTAATATTTTTATTAAAATTTTTGATTTTGAAATAAACTAATATATTCTAAAAATTTTTACATCAATATTGTTTTGTGTAAAACTTTTGTGAATAAATTTATAAAGTTAATTTCTGTTTTATATATCAGTAAACATATGTTACTGCTTAAAGATCTGTTTGATTGTGACTCATACAATATTATTGATGAATGTTATATGTGTGTGTATGTGTGATTGCACAGCTTTCCAAATAACTTTATTTGTAGCCTTGGAGAGTTTAGGCCAAAAGCTAGTGTCTGTTGTATAATTCATGAGACAGATATTACTATAAGGTGTCTTCTATATATTTTAATGTACAAATTGTATGTGTTCAAAATGAGGTATAATTTATCCGTTCCAAGATATCAGGCATAATTTAACTATAAATCTATGTGATGCAACATAATATTTATTACTGACATCATTTAACAAAAATTTATCTCTATGTAATAATTATATAATAATTCCATCTATTATTTTTAACAAACATAATTTATTGATAGTTTTTTACCCTTAACTAAATTTTTTGTTGAAATAAGAAAGAGATGTAGCATTTAGAAAATATTGAGAAAATTTTTTTAATTGATTGTTTTCAGGCATCCTCACAGTGTAGTTACAAATCGAGTCCTTCTGTAATTCCAAAGTTAAATAACGCCCTGGGAGTTGAGATGGAAGAGGGTGGTCGACCCATATCTCCTGCTTCACAACCACAGGCTTCTATAAAACAAGAGGTGGATCATCACTTACCGGACTTCCATGACAATATTTCCCTCCCTGTAAGTAATTTTTTATTTGTGCTTTTATACATGTTTTAAATTTTTTTTTGGAAATTAATTATTTCTTTCCATATTTCTTGCATCTATATAGTTTTAAACATGTGTATTATCCTTCCAATAAATATACACATGTTTGAACACAATAGTGAACAAAATAGTGATTTTAAATATTTTAAATTTTTCAAAATTTGCATGTTATTTAATTTGTATGTAACAATATATATGTATTTATTCTTATTTTATCAGTGTAAAGTGATAAATATTTTAAAAATTATTATTCATATAAGGAAACATTATTTTTTTCCTCATATATATTTTTATATCATGACGGTATAAAAGATAAAAAAGATAAGAAATGCTTTTACTTTTTTATCTGACTTTACACGACTATATGAATTAAATATTTGCTTTTATATTTGACATTTTTTTATATTTATCTAAATATATAATTTTAAATTAATAAAAATGTACGCTACACATATATATATATATATATATATATATATATATATATATAATTGCTTGATATATTATTTCCATAATTATATAATAAAACATGATTTTTTTAATAATTATTTTTATATTTAAAGAATGATGTATCGATTTACACATTTATGTCTTTTAAAAAATGCATATCTTTATAAAATTGCTTGTGAATATTCTGTGGTGTGAGGTGTTTATGTAACAAGGCATTTTGCTACATTATTCCAGCATGTAATTCTGATCCTATTTATTCATTAAGATATTTTTATTGCATCCGTAATAATTTTTTTCGAAGACGCTCTATGCTTCTTCTCGCTTAAAACGCTTTGCATATTCGTGAATGAAGTGCGAAGTTCTCGTAACATATATCGTGGAAATAATTTTTCCTATGACAGAGTTTCGTTACTGTTCCCACAATTGATGACGATTACTTACCGTCATCCTACAACTACTCAGTCAAAACAGACATGGGAAGGAAGGGATTTTCTAATTAGAGATTACAGAATTGGCTTTTCTGCTAAAAGAGATCAATCGATCGAGATGTGTTGATTAAGCACATATCCTTTCCTTCTCTGTTGACAGACTAGTATGGAGTGGGAGGTTCAGAGAGATGGGAAGAGTGACGAAACTATGGATGTACAGAACATGACTTCAAATCGTCCAGATTCGGCTGTGGTGCAAGTTTCTCGCGAAAGTGCCATCATGGCTGGAGGTTCTCTCTGTGTCAATATGTCAGGAACTACATCTGAATTTACTGGAAATTCATATAATCTAAGTCAAACCGTACTTGTGAACTCGCACAATTCGTATAAAAACAATAATGTTTATCCAATGCAATCTTATTCGTTACCCGAATGTAGTTCGAATGTTAAAACAATTGACAGTGATGTGCATACATCGCTACGAATCAATCAGGAACCCGGAATGTCTGTAATTCAATCAACATTATGCGCGAATTTGCAGCGTTCTATTCCGCAAGGTAGAAAGGCCGGTAGATTTAGACCAGGATGGTTAGAAACATATTCCTGGCTGCAATACGATGAACGATCGAATCTTATGTTTTGCAAATACTGTAGAAAATGGAGTGAATCCATACCAGAAATTCGCACTTCATTCGCAGCGGGAAATGGCAATTTTAGACTTGAGATCGTGAACCATCACGATAAGTGCAAAGCACATAATCTATGTGTGGCTAAAGAAAGCGAAGCAAAAAAAAATTACGCTTACGCGACAAAGACCTGCTAGCCTCGATATTTATCGTATTCTATTCGTGCCTATCTAGCTTGTAATCCGTTCCGCTCAATTAATTTAAAAGAAATTATTATTAAATTAATGATTTATAAATACAATATTCACGTAAATACCATATTTGAACAAAATTTCTTGTCTCTTTTAATAATTCGTTTTAAAATTTAATCAAACTTGTAATAATGAGAAACTTGTAACAGAATGTGTTACAAGCATATTATATGACTACCCACAATCTCTTCGATATTCCTAAATCTTTTTCTTCGGTTCTTTTATTTTAACTTTAAATTTTGTAATTCTTTTTATCCATCATGTTTTTATTGCATCAGCAATTTTACAAGTGCATTCATACTTCGTTAAATGTAATTTAGTAGTTTTGCATATTTTTATGAAATGATTTTATTGATGTTAAAGTTATTGTTGTATGTAAAATTGTATAAAAAAATAATATGAACATTATTATAATATACACTATTTTATTGTGTTAAAAATACAAAATAAATAAATATATATATATATATATATATATATATATTTCATAAAGCTGATTTAGTATTTTTACTTTATAAAAAAAAGATGATGATATATATACATATTTCTTGCGATTAACAACATATAATTTATATAACAATTGTACATTTAAATAGTATATAAAATAGTACATAACAGTATAAAATAGTATATAACATTATAATAGTATAAAATGATTTGTACAATTTTTGTCCCGAAAATCATATAATTTTAATAAATGAATAAATAAAATGTACAATTCAAGTAGAATATGATAGAATATAATATGATAAATATTTTTATTTTTACAATGATAAAGCAAAATATTTTGAAGATATTTGAGAATTATAGACAAATTTAAAAATTTAAAAAAAAATACACATTGTTATATAACTATGTATTGTTAGATCGCAGCTAGTAATTAATAAATTTTCAATATACGAGATAAAAGGATGTGTTAAAGCAAATATTTCTGAGATGATATCATTCTGTGATGGGTGCTTATATTTTTGAATTAGAAATAAAAATAATTACAAAAAAAATTATTTATCGTTACATTAATTAGAATCTTTAATCTTCTGTAATTAGAAATTATTACTTTTTAGTTTAAGTGTAGTGACACATTTAAAAAATTTATTGCTAAACATTTATTCTCTTTTATTTATTGTTAAAAAGGTCGTATAAACTTTTATTAAGAAAATAAATATTATGTATCAATTTTTTTAAATAAAACACACCATATACTATTATCCATATGTGAGTAATAGTCATAAAGCGCAAATTACTTTTACATTATTGTCAAATTATAAATATATAATCGTTTATCGCTTATTTATAAATATATAATCGTTTTGTGTGCAGGGTCATCCAGTTGGACTGATGGGAGAAGATGGAGGGACCACGGCAGGGGCGCTCGGTGATGGTATTCAGGGGATCGAATCATCCGAGCACCATAATCCCCCGGAAATGCTCGACGGACTTGATGGTAAGATTGCACATTTTTTTTTAATTTTACGACCAAAATTTCATTTAGATTTAACATATTTCCTTATTTTTTTGTTTTGCATTCCAAGCCGTTCTGATTTGCGACTAACTTGTATGTTACGTGAAGATGATATTCGATATCGTGTCAGACACGACTTTAACAATCAAACATGAATATTACGCTTGTAGCTATATTAGCGATAAAGGATTTATCAATGCACTTTTTACGACTTGCTTTAAATATTGCATTTAATTCACCACAATCTCGTCAAGAGATCTGACTTTACGTCTCTTGAACGTTTGATATCTCGCGGGTGAAAAGAAAACGATCTCTTTGTCAGTCGATGTGTGGGAAATATGTTACATCTAAGAAATCGAGGGACATCTGCATGCACGTTTTGCAAGAATTTGATACGAGTCGAGTCGTACGTAGGTATCGTACGAAGCGAGCATCCCTCTATTTCCAAATCTGGCAAGTGTAGTGAGTGTAATTTTAGAAAGTGAAAGATTTTCTCTATATGTATGTATATATATGAAATATATATGTACATGTATATGCGTACATGCATGTGTGCATGTATATATATATATATATATATATATATATATATATATTTATATATTTATATATATATGCATACATATTGACAAGCGCAATATGCATCGCGCTGTGTGTATATACATATATATATTTTTAACTACATATGTATATTACATGAACCCTTGGTGTTGTGGTGATGGTATCGTGCATTTGCTACATTCAGTCATTGTGGTAGTTTTTAATTACGTGTGTTAATATATACAGAAAACATATAACAAAAACTCTCGTTGGTTTGGGACATGGTATCAGCAAATGGACTGTACTCCTATCTTTTTTTTCTCTCTCTTTTTTTTCTTTTTTTTTTCCTTTTTTTTCTCTTTTTTGTTGTGTCCGAGATTGCGATGGTGTGTGGGTGCGATTGGCTGAGTTCATCTCGCTGTTCTTACACGTGCGCGGGCGCACGTGCGTTCATATGCGTGGTGTCACATTAACGAACTCCATTTGCGTGAATGCGCGTAAATGTGCGCCATGTGTGCGACATAACGTGTACATACATATGTATGTCATATATGTGTGTGCATATATGTATATATACACACATATATCACATGTGGACATCATATATGCGTATATTGCGTGCACGTACGGATGCTGATATATATACGCATATGTGCAGTTTTCACGGCGAGTCTCTGTGCATGTCTTTACGCTGTTTTTTTTTCTATCTCTTATATACCCTTTGCCGTATCTTGCGTCACCGTGCCTAGCGATCTTGATCTTATATTCTCACGTCTCTCTTGCGCTGTTCGTTTCGATTTACACGAGTGAACGAGAATATTAGCAACAAAATGTGCAATCGGCGCATCAGGTTGCGCAATCCGTCATTTGCATTAATAAAGTTGCCGGTCGCAGGAAAAAAACTCGTTACGTAAGACGTTTCCCATACACATTGTTTGATACCACGAGATGAATAATAGGAAGCTAAACGCGATTATTTAAGAATGAAGGATCCGAAGATTCTATAATCCCAACATCTCTTAAAATTAGAGAAAATAAAATATTTTACTTTAGAAAACCCCTAAGTCTTTTTTTAACTTGAAAATCTCCGTCGATTCTGAGATTAGGGAATTGAAAGATTCAGACACTCGAGTTTTTGCATACACTGAAAAAAAAATTTTGTTGAATATTGCCAAAAAAATATTCTGTTCTAGTAACTGTACATCGTTGTACTGAACTCTCTGTTTTGATGATTTGAATAAGCTTTTTTTACATCAACAAATTATATCGGAATATTTTCGTTATATTTATTTGAACGTATCGGACAATATATTTAGTTGGGAAAAACAAATTTTGCCTTTTTCAATCAAGTTTTTTTTTCAGTGTATATTTTTACATGTCTAGAAAAAGTATATAGGTAGGAATTTAAAAGATAAAACATTTTTAACGAGATATCTTCTATCATTTATGCGCATTAATACGTCATGCTTATTTATAGTCATACGATTCTTATCCATCGTCGATGCATTAATAATAGTTGTCAGCAGCAGCAGAAGCAGTCTCAGGAAAAATCGTAACCCTAGCTCATTTTTCTAACGATTATTTCCGAAGCTAAGAAATATATGCGATTATACTCATTAAATTGATTTTGTTGCTAACTCTATTCTCCGTTCATATTTCGTATTCTCGACCTCGTGGCGATTTCATCGTCATCATCGTCGTCGTCGTCATCAGTAGTAGTCGTTGATAACCGCTCGATTATATATTCTTCTTGCGCGATTGCATATTCATATTATATCAAGTTAGTTAAAGTGTTGCACGAGATACATTATGCAATAGTTGCCAATAGTCGCGCGTTTGATCTCCGACGAAGCAATTTATGTATAGACGGTATTTGAGAACCAGGGAGGGCAAAGTCTATAGTTCATATCGCGATCTCCGTAGACGGAATTTGTCGTGCAAATATCGGAATTTCTCTCCTTATTGAGATCTTACATTAAAAATTTACTTTCTTTTCGATTTTCTTTTTTGTTAATTTGACATCTCTTTCCTTCTTTCTTTTTCTCCTGTACGTATTGTGACAGTATCTTTAGTCTCTTGGAACGCGATGAAATGACAGTAGAATTGCGCTTTTTACATTGGTATTGACATTTGTTACGAGTAGGTAATTATAGATGAGAAAGAGCACAGGGTGAAGTCCTTGATGGAATTGACTGAATATCTCTCTTGTTTTGATAAACGCAGCAAGATTTTAATTCTTTTTCTTTGAATTCTTCGTTATGTCCTTGGATCTTCCTGTTTTTCTATTTTTATGTCTACGTTATTTCTTCTGTGTAATTTCTTCATATATACACATATGTTTGTAGCGCACTTATGAAAACAAAAGAGGAAATTAAGCAATTCCATTTATGTACATAACCCTGTATAAATACGAGTGTGGTGTTCGTTATGATATTCTCGTTGACTTTAAACGTAATAGAGAAAATTCCCTTTTCTCTGCAATTATTTGAGTAGAGTGTGACTTGGGAAGTATATAGAGTGCTCCATTTAACGTTATCATCTACAATATTTTTTTTTCGCAATGACGATCTGAAGACAAAATATTTAAATGTTTTGAAGGATTTTGACAATTTTAAAAATATATGTTGAAATATGTAAATTAGTAAAAAAAAGTTTCGAAAAAATAAAAGTTTAAATTTCAATTTTATAAAATATGATAATACAACTATAAAAGTTACAGTTACATGATAATAAAACCATTATTTATAGTTTTATACATATTATTTGTATATTGATGAATGATACAAATTTATTACAATTTTATTAATACATAAATAATTTAGCTTTGTCAAAAAACCAGTAATTATTAAAATAATATTTATCCCGCAAAAAATTCTTGTTTTCGAAAAATTAACATTTATTTTGAAACTTTATTTTATAATTTTACATTTATAAATTTTTTTTATTAAACTGATTAGACGCGATGACTTTTTTTAATCCAAGAGATATTAGGAGATAGTGCAGATATTATTTCAGATAACATTGCGCAAGAAAAAGGAAGTGATTAAGTGTGATAACGTCGAATCGACCATTCTTATCTTGGGATAATACTAGTAGACACAGTTGGCATTGTCCGTGGACTATCATGATGAATTCATTGAAACGGGACCTTGTATTCCAGGAACGACAAGGACTTGCAAAAAAGAAAAGGATATAAGTAAA